ATGGCATACATTCTTCTTTTCCTTAGAAGAGGAATCAGCTGACTAAGAAGGTACTTGACCCATGGGAATAACCCCCAAACTTAATTCATGCTGTTTTCCAGTTCATTCTCCGCCTTCTTGCTACCTCTAACCTATTTACATTTTGTTTTCTTCAAGGTCCACTTCAAAACCCTCAAGAATGCCAAGCTTCTTCCCTTCTCTGATTTCCTAGCAGTGGTTTTTAAACTTAAAATTACAAAAAAAGCTGAACTCCAAAGGTGAAAATAAAGCTGTTTTGATTGTAGCAGAGAAACAGAATCCAGACTTACACCTTCAGCCCTCCAACCCTTGGAGGCCTCTAAGGCACTTCTGTGAAATTCCCAAGGGCTCCAGGGAACCATCTGGCAACCACTAACTGTGCCCCCCCTCCTCCATGTACTGTGATGTTGTTTTTTGTTTTTGTTTTTTTCCCATAGCTGTTGCCTATGGAGTTATTTTATATCTTTAACTGGACAGAAAACACCTAGAGAGAAGATTGTTCCTCACACATCCACTGCCTCTTCTATAGCAACCAGCTCAGGACCATCCTTTTTTCTATGCTGCCTTCACCATCCACCCAATCCCCATCTTCCCAGTGTGCAGTTACTAGCAGGGTGCACTTGTCCCAAACTTTCAATCTCAGAGAAGCTGTTCCTCATCCTAGCTACAGGGATAACCTCAAAGAGCTCTCTCATCTTACATTCCTATGCCCTCCTCTGCTCCCCAGGCTACGTACCGGCCCATCTTGTTGGCCAATACACCGAAGAGGTTGGTGCCAATGAGGTAAGACAGACTGCCAGGCAAGAAAGCCAGACCTGTGGAAAGAAACAGATCTTCACCTTAGGACATGCCCAATTTACGCTTATAACACCTTAACTCCTACAAGGCAGTGAAGCCCCTATGTTACCTTCAAGGATCCCCAAACCACATTTGTTTTGTGGTTGTTATCCTTGTACAAATCCCAAGCAGTTGTCATAGGGCCCATAGCTCTGCTTTCCCTAGGGGCAGGATCTTAGTCAACTTCAGTACATTTCATGTGCTTCTCGATCCCTACTTCGGCTTCCTAATGAATGGCCCTAATGAGTCATTCTCATGTATAAAATACCCTTGATGATCAGCATCAGAACATGAGCTTTAGAGAAAAGTATACCTCCTGGAAAGTAAGATCTCTGCCCTGCTATTTACCAGGTCTGTGACCTTGGAGAAGTTACGAAAACTCCCGGAGCTTTGGTTTCCACATCTGGGAAATACAAAGCTATTATTATATCATGCCAGATTACAGTGAGGAGTAAATTGCATAATGTATATAAAAGCATTTCATGAATTGAAACCCTGGTCACATTTTGTTTTGTGACAGTAAAGTATTCTGGAAGCATGGGCTTTGGAGTCACATAGTTTTGGGTTCAAATTGTGACTCGGCCACTTGTGAGCTCTGTGATCTTGGGCAATTTACTTATCCTCCCTGAGTCTCATTCATTCATTCACTCATTCATTCATACTAATAAACTTTTACCATGTGTTATGTGTTCTAGTGGCTAGGAATAGAAGAGTAGATAAGACAAACAAGATCCTAACTCTCATGGAACTTACATTCCAGGGACGTGAGACAGACAACAAATAAGTAAACAAATAAATGGAAGAGATAATTTTTGAGAAATGGTAAGTTCTGTGAAGGGAATTTAACATGGTGATATGGCAGAGTGACTGGGAAGAAGGGCTACCTTAGCTTTGATGGTCAGGGGAAGTTTCTCTGAAGAGGTGATATTTAAACTGAAACCTGAATAGCCACAGAAGAC